TCGTATCAGCTCACAGTAGGAGGCCCCAGAAGAATTTCAGTGTCACACTCATCAAACTCTTCTACCCATTGTGTTATCTTTCCTCTTTGTCAGAGATTTCAAAATTATGCTGCCTTACTTTTGCATCTAATTTACATCTCAAGCAAAGCTGTCATTCTAAACGCAATAGCGAAGAAGTCGGGAGGGGGGGAATCTTCTGGAGACAAAACAGTGACTAATATAGAATACATTACAGTGAATGTCCAAATTCACATGTAAATGTTGACAATCCCAGACAAAATGTGAAAATAGCCGGAAGTGCAAGAGATGCATCTGGGAACGGCCAGCTCAGTGTGATTTTAGGCATCCATTTATCTATTTCACTTCCCGGAAATAGACATGTGTATATTTATATTGTTATGGGTTTGCAGGGGGCAAGGATACCCTAAAATTCCTGGGTGCCAGGTTCTCCCCATAATTTCTGAGATTATTACATTTGGGGTTTGAAGTGAAGCCAGCTTCATTGGGATCTTGTTTTAGAGAGGTGTGGCACTGTGGGTTAAACCACAGAGCCTAAGACTTGCCGATCAGAAGGTCACCAGTTCGAATCCCCGCGATGGGATGAGCTCCTGTTGCTCGGTCCCTGCTCCTGCCAACCTAGCAGTTCGAAAGCACGTCAAGGTGCAAGTAGATAAATAGGTACCGCTCCGGCGGGAAGGTAAACGGTGTTTCTGTGCACTGCTCTGGTTCGCCAGAAGCGGCTTAGTCATGCTGGCCACATGACCTGGAAGCTGTACGCTGGCTCCCTTGGCCAATAAAGCGAGATGAGCACCACAACCCCAGAGTCGGCCACGACTGGACCTAATGGTCAGGGGTCCCTTTACCTTTACACCCTCAAGCACAATCGCAGAAGAAGGCCAATTCCTCTCTCCTCCCCCTCTTAAATTTCCTTCCCTTTTGCATTTGGTTGCTAAGCCATAATGTTTCGGGGAGTTGAAACAGCCCGTGTGTATGCTACATCTATTATTACAGCAAATGTAGCATGACAATCTATTTAGCCAGAATTCACTTCATTGGGGAGGCAGTGGGGTTGGGGAGGGGAAAGAGAGAAAGAGAACAACACAGCCAGGCATCCGTGCGTTACAGGGAAGCATTCGAAAGAGTTTATCATTTTAACTAAATCCCGTTAAGTAGGCAGCAAGGTCCATTAATACTGTTAACGAACTCTCATTTCAACTTAAACGGGGAGCTACTCCTTCATTTCAGATAATGATTAGCTCAGGCTTCAGGCAATCAAGTGCTGATGTGAAGGAAACCCAATCCCTATTGCATTATGGGAGGGGGTGTGGCTTGGGAGAAGAGCAGTGAAGACAATACTGTGCTAAACAGGCCAGTGGTCCAATTCAATAGAACGTAGCTGCCTATCTGTGATGGCCTGGGATTCAGACTCGGAGGCTGAACCTGAGGAATCCCAGCCTGCACAGGAGTCCCCGCCTCCAGAACCAGCTGAGCCAGGGCTGGGGCTTGAGCCTGAAGGGTCCTCACCTGTGCTGGATCCTCAGGTGCAGGCATCAGCTGAGTTTGCTCTGGCTCCTGAGGTGATGGAAGACCCATTGCCTGCAGGTGCTCCACTCTCAGCCCCGTCAGGGGAAGCTGAGGTTGCCTCTGGGTCCGGTAACCCTCCAGCCTCTCCTGAGCTGCAGTTCCCGCAGGAGGAGTGCTCACCTCCCGGCCAGGAGAGGCGAGTCACCTGTGGACCGGGGCCACCCTATGCCTCGGGACAGATAAAAGCCAGTCGGCCCCAGTCCCGAGTTGCGGGTGCAACATTGTTGGTAGCCTGTTCGTGCCTGTACCCTGTCTTGCCTCTCTGCCAGAGCTCCTGACCTCACCCGACTCCCTGCCTTGGACCCAGCTTCATCTTTGACGGACTGCCTCCCTACTGCACCCTCGACCTCAGACTGGACTTGGACCTCGCCTCACGGTTAACCCCCGGGACCAGCACAGTATCTTCCCTGAAAGCATTCAGTTCAGGATCTAAAATTGTTTAGCTGCACCACCAGTCAGTAGCTACACAGTGGTACCTCGTTTTATGTACCGTCCCCCTAACGAATGTTTCAGGTTACACGCTCTGCTAACCCAGAAGTAGATGCCCCTTGTTGCGAACTTTGCCCCGGGATGCGAGCGGAAGTCACGCTCCGGCAGCGCAGCAGCAGTGGGAGGCGCCATTAGCTAAAGCACGCCTCATGTTACGAGTGGTTTCCAGTTACGAATGGACCTCTGGAACAAATTAAGTTCATGACCGGAGGTACCACTGTACCTGGGAACCTAGGAGGCTGCACTAACAAATTTACCCCAACTCCACCTGTTGTGTGGAATGCATCTATCTGATGACGCTCAAGCCTTCATGCCTCTTATTTGTGCACCCAGAGTACAAAAATGAAAAGGTAAAGGATCCCTAGACGGTTAAGTCCAGTCAAAGGCAACTATGGGGTTGTGGCACTCATCTCGCTTTCAGGCCAAGGGAGCCGGCGTTTGTCCACAGACAGCTTTCTGGGTCATGTGGCCAGCAGGACTAAACCGCTTCTGGCACAACAGGACACCATGATGGAAATGCTGTTTTCCTTCCCACCACAACGGTACCTATTTATCTACTTGCAATGACATGCTTTCAAACAGCTAGGTTGGCAGGAGTTGGGACAGAGCAATGGGACCTCACCCCGTCACAGGGAATCGAACCAACAACCTTCTGATCAGCAAGCTCAAGAGGCTCAGTGGGGTTTAGACCACAGCGCCACCCACGTCTATAATGTGTTCTTTGCAATGCAGTCCTGGGAACTTTAGCTGGTGTAGAATGCAGTGGACCACTGCCAAAGAAGGTTGACCCACTTGGAAAACATGTCACCACTTCACTGAAGTCTGCATCAGTTCCCTGTCTTCCCCTAGCCCAATTCAAGGTGGCAATTACTATGCCATGTTGTCCAGGCTCATGACCTGCTTCCCCCAAACAAACCATGAGTGGCGAGTCACGAACAAACCCTGTAGAGTTGCTGCCATTTGGTGTGGGATATATTGAGATGGAACAATGTTGGGACTCAGAAAAACATATATGCCTATGCTGGACTCCTACTCCCAACATCTCTGAATATTGGGCCTACTAGCTAGGGCTGATAGGTGTTGAAATCCAAAGACATCTGAAGACCCACTGGTGTCCCATGCCTGATTTAAAGGTAAGCATTCCATAGGTGACTTAGATTTTCCTATCAGTCCATGTGCTGATGCTTAGATCTTTCATGTGCTGTTTTATAGAATTCCCCCTCTCTCCATAATTAAGATGCATCTTTGCATTTCAGCCTCATCTACTTTGCTCTTTGTTTTAAACTTCACTCATCTTGACTGCTAGTCTCTGGAGCATAGGCTCCGGCTTCCCATTGTACTTTCTAATTTTCAGCCTTCCCATCCTTCAGCAACAGTCCCAAGCTAGAAGAAAAGCATGTAGGATTAGATAGAGTCATAAATCCTGTGGTGCTGCAAAGGCCCAACTCCTAGGCCACAGTCTGGGGGCCCTATAGCTCAGGAGCCCTCCGAAAGAGATGTAGTGGTAGCAGAAGCAAGACATGACATGCTTAGTTAGCAAAGTGTTGCGCCAATGGCTGCCAAGAATCCTGCCAACTGCCATCATTTTTGGTTAAAACATGGGTGAGGAACCTCAAGCCCCGAGTCCAGATTTGGCCCTTCAAGACTCACTGCCTAGACCTTGAGACTCGCCTCAACCACACCCCCTCACCCAGTCTCCTTGAATGTTTTTGCCTGGCTGAAATGTGTCCTTGTACTCTGCTGACGCCTCTCACTTCCCAGCATGGATGACAATGGCAGACCCTCCAAGTGTCCCTATTTTCCAGAGACAGTCCCAGATTTACAGAAGACGTCCTGGTTTCTGATCTGATCCCAAAACGTCCTACTTTTCCTTAGGACGTCCCTGTTTTCTTCTGAGAAATGAAAGGAGGGTATACAACAGGAGGGTATCTGGAGGGTATACAACAGCAGTGAGGCCGAAGTATGTGGGGTGGGTCACCTGGAAGGCACCTTCACAAGGGCTCCCTCAAATGTGCTTCTGCATAAACACCTAACACAGAGAAGATCTGCTGGGCTTAATGCTCAAGTGATGGGAGAACATCCACACAAACACACACACACCAACTTCTTCAGGCTTTAGCCAAACCATGCTCTTTGTTTTAGCCTTCTACAGAGCAGGGCTGACTCACACATGAGTCATATTTCCATCCAGGCAGCCTTTGGGGGTGCCATGAGCCAGTGGCGGACAGGGATGGGGGACAGAGGCAAAAATGGATGGATCAAAAAATGCACATTTTACTTTTCTGCAGTAGGTTACAGACTCCCACGCCTGTCTATGTTCTCCACCCAGACAAGCAAGCGGCATTATCAGAGTTCAAGGAAACATTTCAGCCAGGCAAAAAGACGCAAGGAAGGTGGGAAGCAGGACCGGGGAAGGGGCGTATCCTGGGGATAGGGTATGGTGCTAAGGAGGGCATGGCTGGGAGAGGGTCCCAGGGGCCAGATAGAGAGGCTTGGGGGCCACATTTCGCTCACGGGTCTGAGATTCCCCCTCGATGCTTTGGAGCTTTGTTGCAAATACTATTACAGTGGTACCTCGGGGTACAGACACTTCAGGTTACAGACTCCGCTAACCCAGAAATAGTGCCTTGGGTTGAGAACTTTGCTTCAGGATGAGAACAGAAATTGCACAGCGGTGGTGCGACGGCAGCTGGAGGCCCCATTAGCTAAAGTGGTGCTTCAGGTTAAGTACAGTTTTAGGTTAAGAACGGACCTCTGGAATGAATTAAGTTCTTAACCCGAGGTACCCCTCTACAGTGTATGGAGTTTGAGTTAGGTAATGCAATTGTATATTTAGAAGCCAAACTATCTACTTCCACATTTCCCAGACACTGTTTCACTTACATGCATAGCCAACAGCTCTTTCTGTAAAGAGGTTTTAGTTCAGCATAACACATGTTCTCCAGCTCACTGGGATTCTGTGCGATGCAGCGCAGCAATTATCCTATTTCAGATCAAATCATTCATTGCCTCTTAGCGTTTTGAAATAAACACAATGAACCCATTCAGGGGAGGTCGTGCCACCGAAAAAGCCTTACGAGGATACACGAGATGCAAAAACCTGCACTGGAAAAAATTGAACCGTAACCATTTGCACCATAAACTAAACAACCGCCTTTTGATAAATGCAATGTAGGCGCTTCGTTGTTGCATTAGATTGGCCTAAGGATGGAGACAGCTGCTAAGCAGGTGGTTCCTTCCACAATCAAACATCCCCCATTGGCTTGTATGTACCAAAGGTGCTGGTGAAGATCCCTAATCACAGACCTTGAATTGGGCTTCAGGAATTCAGCAATGCCCATCTCAGAAGGAGAGGTGAGCACCTGAAGCTCCTGAATACTTCTGCACTCAGATTAGAAGCCAAGGAAATATGGAGAAGACATCCCAACCCAACCTTTCTCTGAAGAGCTAGCCCTGAGGAAGCCCCGAGGAGAAAAGAGAGGACTGGGGCCAAAATCGTTAGCCCTGAGCATCCCCTGTGGACAGTGGCAGCTGGTGTCCCCAGGACTCAGCAGGGCTCCTAGGAAATAATGGAGTGGTTCAGAAGGGGGTCCCTGCTGTCACAATTGCTTCTCTGCAGGAAGAAAGGATATGCGGCTTCCACATAAAGGTAAAGGTAAAGGTAAAGGTACCCCTGACTGTTAGGTCCAGTTGTGGACGACTCTGGGGTTGCGGCGCTCATCTCACTTTACTGGCCTTGGGAGCCGGCGTATAGCTTCTGGGTTATGTGGCCAGCATGACTAAGTCGCTTCTGGCGAAACAGAGCAGTGCATGGAAACGCCGTTTACCTTCCCGCCGGAGTGGTACCTATTTATTTACTTGCACTTGGCGTGCTTTTGAACTGCTAGGTGGGTAGGAGCAGGGACTGAGCAACGGGAGCTCACCCCGTCACAGGGATTCGAACCGCTGACCTTCCGACTGGCAAGCCCTAGGCTCTGTGGTTTAGACCACAGCGCCAACCGTGTCCACATAGCATCATAGAATTGGATAGAGGGATCATCGAGTCCAACCCTCTGCAATGCAGGAATCTTTTGCCCATGTGGGGCTTGAACCCAGGACTCTGAGATTAAGAGTCTCATGCTCTAACAACTGGGCTAGTATCTTCACGTCCTCTGCAAAGAAACAGTGGACACTTAAGCATAAAACCTTTCAATGCCTAGTTAAGTGCCTTACTGTGGTTCAGAATTGCTGTCACAATCTGTGGAGGAGGATGTTTGCCTCGCTCCAAGCCCTAGTTTCTCCAGCAAAGCCACAGAGACATTTCACCTTTGCTTTGCTGGGCATTTCGCTCAATATCTTCTGGAAAACTGAGCAGGTTCAGATTGACCCGGCAATTAGCTGATATAGGGGTTAACAAAGAAGAAGCTTGGCTTATTTATGAACTCATCTGGCTAATGCACAATAGTGTTCTTTCCAGCCCCCTAAGGGCAACTGCAAATGCTCATATCAAGTCTATTTCCAGTCCAGGTCATTTTCACATAAGTTAATTTCTAAATTCCTTCTGTCTGGTTTCCCCACCAAGTTGCTACTCTTAAAAAAATAAAGGCATGGGATTTTATATTTAAATGTACTTTGCAGTATCTACTTAAACATACATTTTCTGTGCCAAGATGGAGAATCCCAGGCCCTCAACACCCCTCTGCCTGGCCCTTGAGAATCTCCCCTGGTGATGCTATTCACTAACCCAGCTCTACATCCACCCTCAGTGCTTTTGCCTGATTGAGACATATCCATGCCAGGATGGAGAACAGACAGACGTGTCTGCACAGAAACCTCTGACTTTTGTGTTGCTGAAATCCAGCTGACTATAAGGGTCACTTTCATAGCTCCACTCACTTTCCGCTCTGGCCCCACCCATCACAACATTGTTCTCTGTTACCCAACAATATACAAAAGCGGTAAAATATGCATCACATTGCATACATTTGTGAAACTGGCATGTACAAAAAAATGTGGATATTAGTGAAAACTGCATACAAAAAATAGGTTAATTAGGAGAAATCCGCACCAAAATGCTGGCAAGGCTTTGCAAACTGTTGTGGAAATGTCACAACATTAAGCTTGGGGAAATGAGAAATCTGGAGAGCTAAAATGGACAGATATGACCATCCCTAGCGGGGGTCAGGTTTCTTTCTGTACTTCTGTCACTGTTTCCAAAACCTGCTTCTGTTGTTACTTCATACGCAGCCCCTGTCCCAAGCAAGGAGCATGAGTCATAGTCCTTATATTCCAGAAAGATCAGGAACTATTTCTCAGCCATCAGTTCCCATTAAAGAAACTTCTACTAGTCATTCTGGACAATTGACCAGTAATGTCCTTAACCGATAAGATGGCTGGCAGAATGGGGACCATTCATAACAATATGCTTCATCTTACAGCTTCTATAAATCAATATGAAAATATATGTAGAGAGGGCAGTTTTTTTGCAAGAGAGCACAGGAAACTTCTGTACCTGAAACTGAAATTATTTCAGAGAAAGGCTTCTCTCTCTGCCACTGCTGAAAGATAATCTGGGTCAGAGATGGGGAACATGTGAACCTCCAGATGTTGCTGGGACTACAAATCCCATCACCTCTGACCAGCATGCCCAATGGTGAGGGAGCTGTAGCCCAGCCAGTCTCTCCCCAGCAACACAATGTTTTGAGTTTTGCAAGCGTTCAATGTATTGCGCCTGCCTGCTCCTGTGGGTCACTTAATATTAATGAGATATGCAAATGACAGCATTGCACGATCTGCACCAGTTGCACAAAGCTGCTCATTTAAATTTCATTTGAGGCATTGCCGCAAAGCCTAAAGAACTCAACAGCCCATGTGCATGCTTATCTCATAGGGCCAGGCCAGCTACTCCCATAACTCAGGTGAACTACTGAGCAAGCCATTCGCGCAAGATTTTTATCCTTTGGGGACCCAACAGCAAAATGCACTCAGTCACCTTCAGGCTGGAACTGGAACCATGGAAGGAAGGCAAGTGTGTGTTGTTCGTATTGACCATTTCCCTGGGATAAATATTGAGCAAATACTCCGAGGTCCTCCATCTGGCACCTTCTGTAAATATTAAAATTCATTTTCAAATTCCCGTAAATATTTTAAGTGAAAAGTGGTGTGTACTTTTCCCTTTGGCCTCGGCCTATGCATATTCATCTATAGCGGTAGAAATGCCAAGCTGAAATCTCCACAAATATTTAATTCTATGGCAGGCATGGTGAATAATTCACTAAGCGAGGCAGTGGATTCAAGGCTCTGGAGAGAAGGCGGGAGGCCACAGGGCGAATGTCACTCGTGGATTTGGCCTAGATGAGGTTCCCCCTCCCTTTAAAGTTGAAACCTTTCATTTGTTCTATGCTGACTTAAACTTATTTTTTACTGTCATGTTAGCAGCAGTCTAAATGACACACTACCAGGCTGCCAATAGTTTTAACTGCACACTTTTAACATTGCAAGTACAGTGGTACCTTGGTTCTCAAACTTAATCCGTTCTGGAAGTCCAGTCCAAAATCAAAGCATTCCGAAACCAAGGCGCACTTACCCACAGAAAGTAATGCAAAACAGATTAATCCATTCCAGACTTTTAAAAAACAACCCCCCAAAACAGCAATTTAATATGAATTTTACTACAGTGGTACCTCGGGTTACATGCGCTTTAGGTTACAGACGCTTCAGGTTACAGACTCCGCTAACCCAGAAATAGTACCTCAGGTTAAGAATTTTGCTTCAGGATGAGAACAGAAATTGTGCTCCAGCGGCGCAGCTAAAGTGGTGCTTCAGGTTAAGAACAGTTTCAGGTTAAGAAAGGACCTCGGGAATGAATTAAGTACTTAACCCGAGGTACCACTGTATCTAACGAGACCATTGATTCATAAAATGAGAGCAATAATTAATGTAAAGGTAAAGGGACCCCTGACCGTTAAGTCCAGTTGCGGACGACTCTGGGGTTGTGGCGCTCATATGGCTTTACTGGCATACTTATTAATTAAAATATTTTTATGTTGTTGTTTTTTGTCAAATGTAAGTAATACGCGGCCACACCATTTTCCAAAACGCTGTTTCTTTTGCTCTGGTGCCACATTTTAATTCTTCCTCTCTCCATGACCTTTGCTATCTGCACATGCCAACCTTTCTAATCTAATTGGCGGATTCGTTCCCTTTTCTTGGTTGAAAGAGAAACTGAACACCGCCTCTTGAATACTCAAGGTGGCTTAAAGATAAAATAGGAACAGCTGAAAGCATAGAAGAAGAAAACCCAATCACAGACCTGCCAACAAAGGGACACAGGTGGCGCTGTGGGTTAAACCACAGAGCCTAGGACTTGCCGATCAGAAGGTCGGCGGTTCGACTCCCCGCGACGGGGTGAGCTCCCGTTGCTCGGTCCCTGCTCCTGCCAACCTAGCAGTTCAAAAGCACGTCAAAGTGCAAGTAGATAAATAGGTAAGGGAAGGTAAACGACGTTTCCGTGTGCTGCTCTGGTTTGCCAGAAGCGGCTTAGTCATGCTGGCCACATGACCTGGAAGCAAACGCCAGCTCCCTCGGCCAATAAAGCGAGATGAGTGCCGCAACCCCAGAGTCGGCCACGACTGGACCTAATGGTCGGGGGTCCCCTCCCTTTACTCAACAACAACAACAACAATTGTATTATTTCCACCCTGTCCATGTGACTGGGTTGCCCCAGTCACTCTGGGTGGCTTCCAACATATATAAAAACATAATAAAACATTAAGCATTAAAAAAACCTTCCCTATACAGGGCTGCCTTCAGATGTCTTCTAAAGGTTGTGTGATTACTTATCTCCTTGGCTCAGGGTCACATAACTCCATACCCTCCAACATTTTTCCAAGGAAAATAGGGACATCCTAAGGAAAAGCAGGATATTCGAGGATAAGATGAGAAACTGGGACACCTTCTGTAAATCCAGGACTATCCCTGAAAAATAGGGACACTTGGAGGGTCTGCAATCATTAAAAAACAATTAAACATTAATTTAATTAAACGTCAAAACTATATATAAATATAAAAGATCTATTAAATGTATACAGATAATTACTGTATTTTTTGCTCTATAAGACTCACTTTTTCCCTCCTAAAAAGTAAGGGGAAATGTGTGTGCGTCTTATGGAGCAAATGCAGGCTGCGCAGCTATCCCAGAAGCCAGAACAGCAAGAGGGATTGCTGCTTTCACTGCACAGCGATCCCTCTTGCTGTTCTGGCTTCTGAGATTCAGAATATTTTTTTTCTTGTTTTCCTCCTCCAAAAATTAGTTGTGTCTTGTGGTCTGGTGCGTCTTATGGAGCGAAAAATACGGTACAATAGAAATAGCACCAGTTCTTTCATTCCAAATGGTTTCCCCTCTTATAAGAACATCAGTAGAAAAGCAGCAAATGAAATAACCACTGTAGTGGAGAACATTATTACATCAATGGGTCGCTTCCATAGAGTTCCCAAAGGATTTCCCCAGCCAGGCAATGAATAATCAGGTCCATATCTGCTTAGCTTTAGCAAAATTGCCCCGTCCTCTGTCTTCAGAGCATGGTCCTGGAACCAACAATGCATTGTGTTGCTAACACAACAATTGAATAATGATAGGTAATTCAGCGAGGATAGGGAAGAGGCTCCATCGACAGCAGCTAAAGGGCATTTTCCTACATGAGGGTTACAGAGGCTTTTGCTTCCATCTCTTTCTCATGCAAATGTAAAAAACCTACATTGGCCAGGAAGTTCATTAACATTACAAAGGCCTCTCTGCTCAGTGTTCTCCTCCAGGTTAACAATAATCAGCCCTTTCAAATGAATAGCAAAAGAGCGGTTCAAAGGCAGGTGATTTAAGCTGATCAGAAATAGTGAACTGCATTAAGCCAGCTATGATAGTTCTTCCATTAATGATTTGATGGGACTCCCCTCCCCCCCCCCCCCGCTTTCTCCTTTTTCTTTTTTTCTAGAAGAAAAGTAAGTACTGTGAAAATTTCACCTATCTGAGAATATTGAGTTAATCGGGTTATCTGAAACGTGACATTCTTTGCACAATAGACAAGCCATGGAGGACAGAGCTTGCCAATTCACTCGCAAATGGGGTTTTTTTCTGCTTGTCAAACAGGAGGAATCAATCAAAAGAGTGCTTCACTTGCAATGTCTTAGTCCAATATGCAGTTGGCATGGGTGTGTGTGTTCAATTCTTATGGGTATGGGCCATAGCTCAGTGGAAAGCAGGTCTCAGGATCAAGCCCTGGCATCCCCAGGCAGGGCTAGGAGAAATTCCCTGTCTGGAATCCTTGAGAGCTACTGCCAGTCAGTGTAGACCATGAGTAGGCAAACTAAGACCCGGGGGCTGGATCCGGCCCAATCGCCTTCTAAATCCGGCCCACGGACAGTCTGGGAATCAGCATGTTTTTACATGAGTAGAATGCGTCCTTTTATTCAAAACGCTTCTCTGGGTTATTTGTGGGGCCTGCCTGGTGTTTTTACATGAGTAGAAGGTGTGCTTTTATTTAAAATGCATCTCTGGCTTATTTGTGGGGCATAGGAATTCATTCTTCTTTTTTCAAAATATAGTCTGCCCCCCCATAAGGTTTGAGGGACGGTAGACCAGCTCCCTGTTGAAAAAGTTTGCTGACCCCTGGTGTAAAGGTCCCTCCTAACTGGCTTTCTGAGACCTCCCTCCCTCACATGATTCAAACAGGCCCCTTGGGGCAGGAGAGTGGGGAATGGCCAATGTTTCAACGTGGTTAAGATGCATGTTTTTCTGCAGCTCTCTGGAAACAAAGTGAATGTTCGTAATCCTGGTAGCCTGCCCCTTTCTTGTCTG